CAGTGTGGATGCATGGTTAAAGATTGTTTTTTTTTCTCTCGAATAAAGATATGCATGCATATGGTTAAAGTGGTGAGTAGACTCGTTGGAACACTTTAGATCAAGCTAGCGTCCTCTGAGATGTGTGATGCATGCATGGTATTTAACTTCCCTTGCTCCATCAAAATGGCTAAGATTTAACCTGTCATGTATATCAAAAAAAGCATATATCCCAGAGTGCATGTCAAGCTGGGGGATGTCTGAATTTCATCGCACCAGGATCACAAATTTGACCTACAGTGGACAAAGGTTTTCATTTATCGGCAGTGCATTTCTGATAAAGAAAAAACACACAATTTACCGGTAATGTGAAGCTGCACCTCTCCATTGGAACTTAATCCGAAATGCCAGATTATTGCAAAAGTAAAGAGTAGGGAGGTGGTGGCTCCATAATGGATTGGGGAAAAGAGGAGCCTCCGCACATTCTCTGAAGAGTTAAGGCTGCAATGTCGCCGGTCGCCTTTTCATCAGCTCACTGATCACGCATTGCTCCTGCAACTGTCAACGCGCGCATGATGACCATGCATTACTTACTACACACCCTTTTCCTCCATGCAGGGAAATGAAATGATTTGAGGATATCGCGGGCATTCATGACCGTCTTAATTTTACTGCTCTGAAAACACAAGAAAAAAACTAGCTACTATTGTATTGTACCACTAGGAACATTAGCCGAATATGGCTGAAATGTAGTACAGATGTAGAGAGGGATGGAGGAAAACAAAAAAAAAATGTTGCCAAATTGACCTGGCCTTCAGATTGAACGGCCAGCGCTATGCTATGCTATCTATCTGCTCATCATCATTTGGGCATTCCAGTCGACATTTCTCATGTCATTTTTGTTTCTCTTTTTTCCTTGAAGAGCCATTCAAATAAAGCATCCACTACCTTCCAACTACTTGCAATCTCTATACTTGTTAACATTAGATGGAGAGTCTGGAGACCTGCAAAAGAGAGCATCCAATGGCTCATCAGATTTCTCATGTCACCACAGATGCGGGTTTTGTACATTGACTGGGTATGTACCTTGTCTGGATATGTAAAATCTTTGGTAGCAATCTGAACATTCAGAAAATTGCAATGCTGAAGTTCGAGATTTGCTTTTCTAAACTCAAATTAAGTGTTGTCTACATAACATGCTTTAGAACCATGAGAAGCGAATGCAATGCACCGGTGAATTTGTAGAAAAGCTTCATGTGTATCAAACTCTGTCCTCAATTGTTGGCAAATAACTGGCAGTGCAAATCGCAATAACTAGAGGCGTTTCAGTTCAGGCGTCTAGCTCAACATGTGTGTTAGAATATACATGTATATGTGTTGTGCGTGTATGGTGGGCCTGTGCCTGGTATAGCTGGCCAGCCCTATATTTGGTTAGACTATATTTGGTTAGAGAAATATGAGGAGATCTCTGTTGGTTCTGTTTCTATAAGCCACAAGATCTCTCTTCCCTATATATATATGTACATAGGACTCTCCAATCAATCTAATCTAATATTCCATGCAATCTCTATTGCTTTCATGGTATCACGAGTCTAGGGTTCCCTTCCGCTCCTGCTCGCCGCAAATTCGCGTGCGCATCCTAACAATTGTTCTGTGGAGTTTGACCCTCTTGGCTGTTCTGTGAAGGATCTACATTCTCGGAGAGAGATCGTCAGGTGTGACACCTCCGGTCCCCTTTACCCACTACAGTTCCAGGAGCCTGCCTCTACTCTGATCGCCACTTCCAGTCCTTCGCTTTGGCACCAGCGTCTTGGTCATCCCGGTCATGAAGTCTTGTCTAGGCTAGCCCAATCGTCTGCTATTTCATGTAATAATAGTGCTAGTCAAACATTATGTCATGCTTGTCAGTTGGGGCGTCATACTCGTTTGCCATTTCATGCGTCCAATTCCAGAACCACTCATATTTTCCAATTAATACATTGCGATTTGTGGACCTCGCCTATTCCAAGTGTTGCTGGATGCAAGTATTATCTTGTCATTCTTGATGACTTTTCGCACTACCTCTGGACTTTTCCACTTCGGTTTAAGTCAGACACCTTTTCGACCCTGTCTAACTTATTTGCATATGTTGCTACACAGTTCGGTGTCTCTATTCAGGGTATTCAGTGCGACAATGGACGTGAGTTCGACAATCATGCTTCCCGTGCCTTCTTCCTCTCTCACGGCGTGCAGCTATGCATGTCTTGTCCATACACCTCCTCCCAAAACGGTAAAGCCGAACGCATTATTCGTACCATCAATAATGTTGTTCGCTCTCTCCTGTTCCAGGCTAGTGTCCCTCCAGCCTATTGGGTTGAGGCCCTCTCCACCGCCACACTGCTCCTTAACATTCTCCCTACCAAGACACTCAATTTCTCCACCCCTCATATGGTACTATATGGGTCTCCACCCTCTTATGAGCATCTTCGTGTTTTTGGGTGTCGTTGCTATCCCAACCTTTCAGCCACCACTCCCCACAAACTCGCCCCCTCCCTCCTTGTGTGTCTTTCTTGGCTATTCCCCATCACAAAGGCTATCATTGTCTCTTGATCGTCATCCAACCGGATCATCATATCCCGGCATGTCGTCTTTGATGAGACATCCTTTCCCTTCTCCGAGGATTCCGCTCGTCCTACTCCCTAGGATTTCGAGTTCTTGGACTCTACTGACCCTGTGATGGCTCCACCAGTGCCATCATTTTTATGCTCTGCAGTTCTCCCGCGCCGCCGCTTACGCCCACGCGGCGGTTGTGTTTCGAGGAGCAGCGCCCCATGGCTTGCTGCTGCTCCCCAGCCTGGCGCGTCATCTACAGCAGGCCGGCTGCAACAGCCGGTCATGCACCACCAGCAGCACTGCTCCTCCATCAGCCACCCACCTGGTCTGGCGATCAGCACGTGCACCACCAGTGGCTGGCCCCTCCAACAGCCCCGGCCGGTGGTGCAAGCGATCGCCTGTTGGTCCTCCACCCGGCTTCCAGCGACTGGGATGGGCTAGCTGCTACGGCGCCGGTCCCACCAGTTCGGGTGACATACAGCCGTCGCCCACGGCCTCCATCTCCAACTGCTCCACCACCACCGGCTGCTACTACTGTTCGCCTTCCACCTGGGGCGGTTCCCATCGTCCCTGTGGCCAATCAGCATGCCATGAGGATGCGTGGGAAAGCCGGTTTCCGACAGCCGACGACACTTCAGACGACCTCCCTGTCGCCGATCCCGCGGACGTATCGCGCCGCTCTTGCTGACCCCCATTGGATTGCATGCAGGAGGAGTTCTCAGCTCTGCTTGTCAACCACACTTGGGATCTAGTTCCGCGACCACCGCGCTCTAATGTGGTGACCGGCAAGTGGGTCTTCAAACACAAGTTCAAGGCAGACGGTTCTCTCGAGCGCTACAAGGCGCGCTGGGTTCTTCGTGGATTCACCCAGCGCCCAGGCATTGACTACGATGAGACTTTCAGCCCCGTTGTGAAGCCCGCCACTGTTCGCACAGTTCTCTCGTTGGCTGTCTCACGCAGTTGGCCAGTTCATCAGCTTGATGTGAAGAATGCATTCCTCCATGGGACCCTCTCCGAGACAGTCTACTGCGCCCAGCCAGCAGGATTTGAGGACACTTCTCGCCCGGATTTTGTCTGCCGCTTGAATAGGTCCTTATACGGACTGAAACAGGCGCCCCGTGCTTGGTATAGCAGGTTCGCCATGTTCCTTCTCTAGTTGGGCTTTGTTGAGGCCAAGTCGGACACATCCTTATTTGTTTATCGTCGGGGTTCTGAGACTGCATATCTCCTGCTCTATGTTGATGATATTGTGCTGACTACTTCCTCAGCGGATCTGCGCCAGCGCATTATTGCAGCGCTTCAACGGGAATTTTCTATGAAGGATTTGGGAGAACTCCATCATTTTCTGGGCATGCAGGTTCAGCGCACCAGTTGTGGTCTTTTCCTATCTCAACATCAGTATATGCTGGACATCTTAGATCGTGCTGGTATGGCAGATTGCAAGCCCTGCTCTACTCCGGTTGATATCAACCCGAAGCTCTCAGCTGATGGCAACCCCATTGCAGATCCTACGGATTTTCGCAGCCTAGCAGGAGCTCTGCAGTATCTCACCTTCACACGACCGGACATTGCTTATGCCATGCAGCAAGTGTGTCTTCATATGCATGATCCACGAGAGCCTCACCTTGCAGCTTTGAAGCGCATATTGCGCTATGTTCGTGGCACTTTGGAGTTGGGGTTACACATTCGAGCCTCTAGTCAGCTTGATCTTGTTGTCTACTCCGATGCCGACTGGGCCGGCTGTCCTGACACTCGTAAGTCCACCTCGGGCTACGCGGTGTTCCTCGGTGACACTTTGATTTCCTGGTCCTCCAAGCGCCAGAACACGGTCTCTCGCTCTAGTGTTGAAGCTGAGTATCGTGCGGTCGCCAATGTCGTCGCCGAAGCTTCTTGGTTGCGCCAGTTGTTGTCTGAGCTGCATACACCCCTGCGCCATGCCACATTGGTCTACTGCGACAATGTCAGCACCGTGTACATGTCTTCCAACCTGTTCAGCATCAGCGTACCAAGCACATTGAGATTGATCTTCACTTCGTCCGAGAACGAGTGGCTCTTGGTGCTGTCCGCGTTCTTCACGTCCCGACGACGTCCCAGTTCGCCGACATTTTTACCAAAGGGTTGCCTACTGCTGTCTTCATGGAGTTTCGGTCCAGTCTCAACGTTTGACCCATCAATGTTGTGACTGCGGGGGCGTGTTAGAATATACATGTATATGTGCTGTGCGTGTATGGTGGGCTTGTGCCTGGTATAGCCGGCTAGCCCTATATTTGGTTAGAGAGATATGAGGAGATCCCTGTTGGTTCTGTTTCTATAAGCCACAAGATCTCCTCTTCCCTATATATATATATGTACATAGGACTCTTCAATCAATCTAATCTAATATTCCACGCAATCTCTATTGCTTTCAATGTGAGTTCCTTTGTCCATTTTCAGTAGAAATTGAGGTCAGTATATCCATAATGGTCAATTTCAGTGTATCCATATGAGTAGGGCAGCAATTCTTCTATGTCCAGCTGGGAGCTCCAAGAACTCATCTTCTGAATCTGGCTGTGATTGATCGATTCCACTTCTGCAATGAACATGCTGTAGACAGGTCTGTGGTCCGAGAAACGAGACTCTCCTCGAACATACGAGAGTTGGCTAAGGCCCCTCCCATACCACAAAATGCGGTCGCACCTGCATAAAAGGGTTGCCAAATTTCCTTAACTGTGCAAAATTTGACAAACTCGCAAATTTATTAATTATAATTATATACCATGCTGGAGTTCGCTTCTTCTCCTTCTGGTTCATGTCATCTCCTGCGTATTTGTCGGAATTGTTGGAGTATTTATAGGTTGGTGGGAAGTATATCCTCCCCTCATTCCAGCCAGGAAATACACGGCCACCTCTTTGCTCCCTTGTCAGCTGAAAGCATAAAGTTTCACACCATCTCATCAGAATTGTACTTAGCCTTCTATTTTTTTCAAACTATTGATGCCTTGTAACATCACCGGAGAAAAAGAATGACAAGATATAAAGCATTGGTTGCCAATGTCACAAGAAATCTACTACGGGAAATATTTTTTGCTACTTTTTTCTGTTACTCGTAATCAGAACATTTGCATGAAAGTACATTGTGTCTACAAAGTAGTAGCTAAGCGCTCACCTGATCTTTTTCCAGCAATGCTTTCCAGTTACGCATCTCTACAAGCGCTTTCACTGATCGGTAGGAAAGTGCGATCCGGTAATTGAGATCCCCAAGCCAGATTATCCGACTGTGACAAAATGCACAGATAAGGGATAAAATTACACAAGATAAGCAATTACAAGTACGAGAAAGCATGTTGTTGGTCCAATGACATGCTGATGGAAACTAAACCCTGAAAATTAATGCATAGACAAGGTGCTTGCTTACTCATGCTCCAAGATAGTTTCCGGTGATCTCTCATACTGTCCACAAACCCTAGGGAACCTGGTCTTCCTTAGGATTTCCATTACATCAGAGTTCCTGCGGTGTTCGTCACCGTCCTTCTGACCCGATGTCAGATGACTGCAGACAAAGCAGAAGCTTGTTTGGTGCAAAACCATGCTGATGGAAATTGAACCCTGAAAAACACACAAAACCTACTCATTGGAATCCAAATATGTCTAATCCAAATCAAATATTTGTCGCTGATTGCTTTTGTAAGTTGCGTTGTTCTACATTTATCGTGATAGAGTAAAATTCACCTTATTTCCAAGATAGCCCATTAATCCCCTCCCAACACAGGACACCTTCAGATTTCTAATGTCATTCTTCATCTCTTTCCGAGCCCAAATCATCAGGAACAATCCAACCATCTGTTTGCTTGCAACCAGGCAGTACCTAGTCATCAAAATTTAACAAATAGAAATAAACTTAATCTCATGAAAACAGCATATGCTTTACGAACAGGATTTAAAAAGTTGGGATAATGTGAAGCAAAACTGTATTTTCCAGTGAAGAAGGAGGCGTGATCGAATCGATGGCTGTAATGTGATGGCAGGTACCTAGCAGGGCCACGGGCTGATCCGCTGCATTCTTCCATGGGCTGAGCATTTCCGTATCCGTGCGACATCGGAGAGAACACCGTGATCGGCGACTCGCCGCCGCCAACATGATCATTCTCGTCGTCGGACTGACCGCCGCCGCCGCCCCAGCGGCAGTTGGCCTCATAGTCGCTGGGCCTGCTACCGTACATGACGCGGTCGTTGACGCTGTACCGGCGCTCGAGCCTGGCGGGACCGGGGCCGGCGAGGATGTCGTCGTCCACCCGCATGCTCCGGCTGAGCCCAGACTGGAACGACCGCCGGTGGAAAAAGGAGGGGTTGTTTTGCGTCGACCGCTCGAAGTCCGCGTCCATCTCCGCCACCAGGTACGGCGCCGGCGACGGCGTCTGCAGGCTCCCGCTGCCGCCACTTCCCGGCAGGCTGTTGAGAGTCCGCCTGACCAACGACACCCACTTTCTCGCGGGGCCGTTGTCCTCGGCGCCGAGGACGTTCCCGGCGTTCAACGGGACGATTTCTTGGAACCTGCATGCCGCAACCGCCAACCGCAATGAGACTAAACAACGGCGTGTCGGCGTCCCCCAACATAACAGCAAGAAGAAATCAGGGGGGGCTTTACCCGAGGATGTAGATGTCGGCGGGCGGCGAGGTGCGGAGCCAGTCGTCGAGGCTGAGCGACCCCAGCGGCGCGCGGCCACCTACATTCCATGTAGCAGCAAAGATCCTGCCCTCAAGACACAAGAGGAAGACATCACACTCACGGACGGACGGACGACGGAGTCGGTGGATGGATCGAGTTCTTGCTACTGGGTAGGCAGGCTCACCTGTAGTCGAGCATGACGGTGGCCTCGGCGGCGTCGAGGTCAATCTTGCTGCGCCGCGACCGCTCGTGGCTCCTCCGCGACGCCCTCTCTGGGTGAAAGATTGGACAGTGCGAATCAGGGGTGAAGGATTGGCCAAATGCCCAAATCAATCAGGAGCCCACAATGGATTGATTCCTCACCTGTCCTGCTCTTCTTGGTGGCGCAGGAGTCCCTCCTCGTGAAGCTGCCATCCATCCAATCATCGTCCCCTCCACCTGCAGCAAGAACAAATATTGAATCCATTTTGGAAAGAAAAAAAAAGAATATGAGAACAATGCCTTGGCAATGGAAAACAGAGAGGGATTAAAGAACAGAAAACAGGTGCTGAAAAGTCAAGGCCTTTGACAGCTTGACTCCAGGAGGAGGAGAAGAGGACAAGAGGAAGGAGGAACAGTGGATGGAACGAACAAAAGAGTGATCTTCCAGTGGCAGAGTTAGTGGTGGGCTCCACAGTAACAAACACGATTCCACAGAGACAGAGGCACTGGGACAGAGAGGCCGAGGAACATGTTGCAGCTGGCTCGCTCACCTGACCTCCCACTCCCAGTTCCAACTGCTGCAGCATCGGCATGGAAGTCATGGGACTTGCCCCTGATGTTGAACCACTTCCTCACCAGGCTCTTGGACCACGACAGCTGCAAAAACCACAGAAATAAAGAAGAGGAAGAAGAAGAAGGTCAGGTCAGCTGCCAGGCAACTAGGCAAGGTAAAGGTCGAGAGAAAGAATTGCAAGGGGTTGAGAGTGGTGGGTTGGGCAGGCACCTTGCTCATCTTGCTGTTGCCGCCGCCGCCGCCATCCCTCATTGTTCCCCTTCGTCAGGGTCAGCCGGTCAGGGAGAGCAGTCATGCAGGCCGGCAGGCCAACCTCGAACCAATGGCCGGCTATCGCTCACTCCCTGTTCTTCACCTGTACAGTGTGCATCTTGTCCTCAGTGCGAGAGATGGGCAGGGCCAGGTGAGGCTAAGGTAGGCAGCCTGGAGAGGTAGAGACAAGCAGGGCACTGTTTGTCTTTCCGTGCACAGAGATTGCGATGTGATGCAAAAGAGTAGGGGAGCAGGGACAAGGCTGCAAGACTTGTTTTGGGCAAGCACAGGCAGGCAAGGGATTTGTTAATGGAACTGGAAGGAGGAGGAGGACGCGCGTGTGGAAGACGGCCCGCCGCCGCCCTGGCTGGACGCCTGAACTGGACTGGAGGGAATGGCTGGACTCGGAAGCAAAGCGAGAAAGGAGGCGCCGAGCCAAATGGCACTAGCAGTAATGCTACTACCACTGCCCCTCCCTCCTAGGAGGTAAAGAGGCCTACTAGCATTTGCAGCTACAGACTGACAGAGAGACCTCTCTCTCAGTAAAGCTAGAGAGAGGGAGAGAAAGAAGATGAATAAGAACACGCTCCTCCTCCCGTTCGAAAGTTTGATAACAGTTTATAAAGCACACGCTGCACGATTGCTCATTTACGAACAGAACAGAAGACAGACGCACAGTGGCTACTAGCTACTACAGTGGCTACTCTCTCTTCATCACATCAATTTTAGACACACTACATAGAGCATTAAATGTGATTACAGAAATTATCGAACAAAGTTTGTCAAATACAAACGTTGCTGAAAAATTTGTAATCTAAATAAGGCCCAGCTGATTCAGATTAGTAGTTGCTGAAATGAGGTGGTGACGATGGATCACAGTCAAAGGACAGGCCACGCGCCGACGCGCGGTCCATGGCGATGCTGCCGCGGTCAAAACCTGAAACGGCCGTGCTGTTTAATTCTGCTTGGCCAGATTTGCCAAGTGAGTCCCGGCACAGCGGACAGGCTGAGGTAAAGTTTGTTGAATTGCCGGCATTAACTGGCGGGCGGGCGGAATTGGTGGGTAAATGAGGACAATACCCACATTCACTGGCTCTTAGAAGTTTGTAAAATACAAGGAGCAGAATTGGTGGGTGACGGTAGTAAGCGCAAACTTCTTGTTTAGTTCTTTCTTTAAAGTTTACTCTCTATTCCATTGAATATTTGAACACATGCATAGAGTATTAAATATAGATTAAAAAATAACTAATTACACATTTTACGATTAATTTGCGAGACGAATCTTTTAAGCCTAATTAGCCCATGATTTGACAATATTGTGCTATAGTAACACATGTGCTAATGATGGATTAATTAGGATTAATAAATTCGTCTCACGGATTACTAACGGATTCTGTAATTTGTTTTTTATTAGTATTCGAACACCCTATGCGACACTCCATGTAACACCCGATGTGACACATTAAAACTTTACACCCTGAATTTAAACGAGGCCTAAGTTTTCTTTTCTTGGGGTGGAACTGAATTATGTAAATAGTTGTTAATTTTCCACTTCCCAAACAAAGGGCCCCATAGATGAAGCTATTCCTACCCATCAACCCTCCTAACATTTGGTTGAGTACAAAATTGTTGTTCATGCTTGTTTTCTCTAAGTAAACCTTCTACTCTCTCCGTTTTTTAACATGTACTATCTTTGACCAACCATTTTAAAAATTTCTTAAAATTTCACAATATATGAAGTATATATTATGAAAGTATTTCTCATAGTGAATCTAAAATATAAATCTTATGACATGAATCTATATAATTTTTTTTAAAATCAATGGTCAAATATACAAAATATTTGACTTAGGACAAAGCTAATACGACCTCTAATAAAAAACGAAGGGAGTACTCCTTTGTTTTTTACAGTCAAATTAGTTTTTGTCCTAAGTCAAACATATATATCTTTGACCATCCATTTCAAGAAATTTAGATAGGTTCATGACATAAGATATATGTTTTTAGATTCACTTTAAAAAATAATTTCATAATATATAATTCATATGTTCTGAAACTATAAAGATTAGAGATGTCTTTGTCCACCATGTGTATCTATATAGTTTGTCTAGGGCCATGTAGAAACCATACCTCTCTGTGATGAATGAATATCAAAGACTCGTCTATTTAGTATTCGTCTCTAAATATTTCAGAGACATGTCTCTTTAAAGCATGCCTTTGCTAATAACACACGAGAGATGGGTACAATTCTAGAGACACATGGAATTTAGTCCACGTCTAAATATTTGTTGTATGCCTTAGAGACGATTATTTGTGACGGGTGAAGTTTTTCACATATCTCTCATTGCGAATCGTGTCAGATATGTCTCGTTCACTTTTCAATGGTAATTTGTTGTTTGTTAGTGGCTAACGGCTGAGTTTCTTCCTTGTCTATGCAAGGACTTTGAAGTGCCCATGGCAGCCCTCGCAAAAACATGATGTGTAAAATCCGAGAAACTATCACCTCATTCTTAATGCTCAAGCCATCAACGAGAGAAGGGAATTCCTTTGTGCCAATTAATCCTGCCATTTGAAACACCGATCTATAATCGTGTGATGCGATTGGATAATTAGTATTGAAAGTTTTGCTTGTTAACTATGCACAAACCATGAACTTTAATGATTCTCTGAACTAGCTAGATGGTGTCCAATGAGATATGTTACTATGCCAATGAATAAATGCATGAATAATGGTTGATGAGACACGGTGTGTATGAACTAACGCATCTATTCAATGCAATTGTGATTAGCTTGTAATGACCATGCAGTAACACCACATGCGATAAGGAACATCAGAGACACATGCTAAAAGAGTCTCGTCTCTGATGGAAAGATATTTAGAAATGCACATAAAGGTAATCTGCCTACTCTATCTATAATCTAAGACCCATGCCTTAACCATTCTGTCTCTAATAGAATGAATCAGAGACGGTGCCTTAAAAAATCCGTCTAAAATGTTATTATCTAAGACACATATAAAAGTAAAATGTACATGATAAGTCTAATCAGAGATGTTTTGTTATAACACCCACGTCTCTGATGTGTGCATATCAAAGAGGGTTTCTTGTTCGGTAACTGTCATCAATGTGTGCATATCAGAGATGGGGGATAACACGTCACCAATGTTGTCCACATCAGAGACATAAATTTAGAGATTGCTTTCCATGTCGCTAATATGCATCCTGAACCATCACTAACGTGCTTTTATGAAATAGTGAATGCTCATTTATCCTAGGTAATTCCCAAGTTGGATTATGAAGCACATGAGAGGGAATGAGACATTTTCAAGCATGTAATGCTAGATATGCTGGCAAGAAAAAATAGAGGGAGAGGGGCTCATCCACTCCATCTCTCCTCACTGGTTCTTTTCTCTCCTCTTTGTCTTCTTCATCCTCCCAGTTTTCTTCTTCCTCTTAATGTTGATGGGCCTTATAAGCTACATGTTAACAGGGGGAAGAAGCCAAACACAAACCCTCCTCATCCTCGTTGTGCCGCCAGCGCTAGATCCACTCTTGCAAGCATGGGTCTAGTCAGAAAAATCGTTTATGTAGATTGTAATTAGATAATAGCATGTTGTGTGATATGTCACCACGTCATGCGAACTAACTGCAAGCCAAAATAAACATCGGTTTCTTGCACGCTAGTTCTCTTTTTGGTTGTTGTTTGACTAAGCAGTAGTTGTGCTACTATCCATCTGACATCATTGAAAAGATACCTTTTGCACGCAAGCAACCAATGTAGATCTTTATAAACAAGTCAAAACTATTTGTCTGAGAGCATTGAAAAGATACCTTTTACACGCAAGCAACCAATGCAGAACTATATAAACAAGTTGCAACTATTCATCTAAGAGCATTGAAAATATACCTTTTTCACGGAAGCAACCAATGTGGATCTATAGAAACAAGTCTTTTGTTGTGCTCTAGCTGAAAGGAAAACACATCATGATGACAGTATAGGAGGAAGGAACATATTAGCATACTTAGGGCATGTATGGATCCTCCTAGATTTGTAAGCTGTGCTTGGTGTTTTTATATGTTCAAAATGGGTTATAAGTTGGATTGTTTGGATTAGATAGAGTTTTTTTTGTCTAGTGGCTTTCTACAAGCTCTAGCTGATCCAAACATGACATTACCCATGGATCGATTGGACGAGCCTTGACTAGCATTATATTAAGTGAACTATTCTTGGGTTTGTTTCCTTCAATATGTTGCTATAGGTGTAAATGTTATTCTTCCAAATGCTTTACTTTGTTTCGTGGGGTCAACTTAAGATTTCTTATCTTGTCCCATCAACAATAATTTTCCTCATAACATCTTGGGTAAACCTCCTGGCATAAGTCTCATGAGTTATATATGTGTCTAACACCATACATTATGCAAGGCAACATACCATAATTTATCAAAAATGATCCCCTAGTTAGCAACCAGGCAATAGCATACAAATGGTTTTCGTTTCTCTTTCCAAATGCTTCAACGAAAGTGTGGTGTAGCTCTAAATACCATGTGACGGTTTAGAGATATATTCACTATTAGTGCTACATGTCTATGTAGTGATGTTGGACTCATCCTCTCTACTACATATTTCTCTTTGTTTTTCCCAATGATAATTGAATTGTCAAGAATTAAATTGTTGCCAATATTCTTCAAATGAATCTTTCAAAATCAAAGTAGTAGTTTATCACTTTGGGTTTAGATCCTATCTACAGATGAGGTCCTCTTGCAATGCACCAAAGTTATCTTAGGCACATGATTGTGCTAGATTATTTTTTGTAAATCAATGAACTTATCAACCACTTTTGTAATTTAGCACTATTCGCCTAAATGGCCATCTAACCCTATAAACGTTATGTAAACGCTACACTTTGGTAGGCCATTTCTATTTAATTTACCATTTATAGTTTGAATAATGGCTAAACGATAGGTGACTAACTACTTAGCATTTAGCGTTAGGTGAACAATTTATATTAGCATTTTAAATTTTTCCAAAGCAATGTTTTCCCATGAAACAAGCCTCCTTTGTTTATGAAGGAAGGGTTTTGTATTAATTCAGGATCTGCGCACCGGCCGGAGGGAGTACATGGACCTTATAATATGAATGATGAATATGTTTGGACCGTGGGGAGAGAAATATGGACATCCTGTGAACTAAACCATAAAGTAACAAGTAGAATTATTCTGCGAGCAAGAGATTATGATACATTTTTTGGAATTATATATCGTATTAAGTCCTTCTCTGGCTAAGCAAAACTGGAAACAGTTACACTGCATGCTGAACGTCTCTGTGGGTCCTAGATACCTACTACTGTACATTTTTAGTCCGATCCACGAGTGGGCATTATTAGATATGATTAGTAGTCTACTTAAAGGTGGCAATCTAGGATTTAGAGCAGCAAAGTACATGTCACCCAGGTCGTTAGCATCTCACTAATTAAATCTATAGCATACTAAAGTACACCCTTAACATGCATTGCTGCTCCCTTTGTATAGAGCAAACCTAGCTAAAAGCCCTCCTGTCTTGTGGGCAACACTTTGACCAGAGTCATATGTTCATTAATTAGATATATATATATATATATATATATATATATATATATATATATATATATATATATATATATATATATATATATATATATATACACACACACACACTAGGGATCAAGTAGGGCATGAGGAGTAGTTAAGAATGGCTGAGTGCATAATATGTGTCAGGGGAATGGCAGGCAGGCAGGCAGGGCATGAGATGGCTGGCTTCTGTCTCTGCAAGTCTGCAGTGTGTGTGTGTGTGTGTGTGTGTTAATTAAGATGCAAGTAAAGTAAAGGCCTGCAGGGGCTAGCGGCCATGCCTCCGTGCTGATCCTGATCAATGCAATTGGCGTCTAATTAAACAGATTAAGAAGAAAATGCAAGTAGATGCTAATGATCGATAGATGCTAGTACTGTGGAGTATGTAGAGGGCAAGCAGTATATATAGGTACACTAGTAGAGATAGGGCCCAGTGGGATGGTTAATTAGGGCGTGGGGCGTGGAGCGTGCAGCGCCATGCGTAGATTTGCAGCTACTGGAGGTTAGGGTTGTTATGAATGTTATGATGATGGTGTTGTGGTTTTGAGCATTGAGCGTGTCGCCGTGGGGGCGGTCAAAACAGGATCTGGGCTTGCATGCACTCTTTTGCCAGAGGCCCCGGCCCCGGCCCGGCCCCCTTTCTTGCTTTGGTTGCCGGCCGGCCGGCCGGTGGGAATGCATGGGATGGTCGTCAGTTCATCGACCGACCGGGATCTGCAGCACTCGAGGACCGCTGCATGCATGCGCCTCGATGCACCGGCGCCTCTGTCGAGGAAAAGGCTCAGACAGTGACGTCGGACATACTATACGGCACTTTGACCATCATCATCTTAATTATCCAAATTTTGGTACGTTTAGTGTACAAAAGATGCATCCGTAGATCCATATCTCCCATGCCTTTTTGTAGGGCATTCGATGTATAGCATAACCCAGAATATATTGCAGGAGAAATTATTGGTGAAGGTATATATGTTGATTTTTTAAAATATTTTCTCAAACCCTAAAAAATATCTCATTAAGAGTATCGCCACCACTTCACCAATAGCAACCCTTATCCCGTAACCTGTCATAACGGGGGATCGGGATGAGGTAATTTCATTCCTGCTGCAGTTCCACGATAGCTATTCTTCTTTTTGCCAAAAAAGAAAACACCCCATCTCCCTTTAAATAAAGGGGTTGCATCTCCCTTTAATAATATGGGTCTTACAATAACTACCTCCTTTTCTTATTCCTACACACTGAGTCAAGGCCGCCGCCGATGTCCAAACCTCCGTCCACGGGACTGCGACTGCCACACCAACGTCACCACAATGAGGAGGACCTCAGCATCGACTTCGGGCACGCCAGCTCTGTGCCAGCCTCCGTGAGATCCACAACACGTTGTGGATGAGCTTGCGGTCGACAACCATGGTGGAGGATGTGGAGAGAAGGGGTGCCAGGCATGGCCAAGTCGCAAAAGGGCGCGCGACGTGAGGCGGGTGAAGAAGATGCCCCTCTAGAGAGAGGAGAGGAAGAAAATAAAATAAAAAATCATAATTTGACATGTGGGTCACACGTACCGGGAGAGATTATTGATAATCTGTCCGAACATCTCCTTTAATAATTAAAAAAACAATACTATTTTATTGGAAAAATGAAGTAATGGTGAAGATCCTAAGAAACAGAGACAGTGGTAACTAACCCATTTCGTAGTTGGACGCAAACTCAATGGAGCGTGCCGACGCGTGGTACGTGGCGCGCGTGTGTTTAAGCGGACGGGCCCGTCTGTTCGTTGGGAAATGCATGCATGTTTCTGTTTCCCCATGTGCTGTACCACAGTAGCAGTAGCACTGAGGACGAAGAAGATATAATAGCAGGCAGGCATATATGTCGTTGTCTGACTGCGAGCCTCTACTCTTGCTCTCCTCCTGATCTAGCGGTCTAGGCCCGCACGACCGGGACCGGATGGCGGAAGCTGCAGCGGCAGATGGCGGAGTGGAGCGATCGAGCGAGAGACTGGAGGCTAACTAGAGGACTAACATAATAAAATTAATTACACATTAGGAGGACTAACATAAGAAGACTAATTTACGAGATGAATCTATTAAGTCTAATTAATCCATCATTAGCATATATTTACTGTAGGACCACATTGTCAAATCATAGACTAATTAGGCTTAATAGATCCGTCTTGTAAATTAATCTCAATCTGTACGGTTAGTTTTGTAATTAGTCTATATTTAATACTCTAAATTAGTGTCAAGCATTCGATATGACATGGACTAAAATTTAGTTCGTGGAAACAACCACCCCTGACAATGTGATGATATCGCCATGCCCACTGGCCATCTGCACTGCAGCCTTCTTCTCTCTTCTTCAACCTCGGCACACCTTTGCCTTCCTTCCCTTCCCTGCTGTCATTCCCTCCCTTTTGTCGCACATGCATGATACGTACTCCGGTACTATTGAATGCATGCAGTACAGTGTAGGAGTAGTCTAGTATTTAAGTGGGCTTGTTAAAAAGTATTTATAAATCTATAGCTAAGTTATATATGATCTAATGAGTATAAAATTTTTATTATAGTTGAAGCATACAATAATTAACCCACCATAAAAATCTCACCACAATTGGACCATAGAAACTACAGCTATTAATTCATTATAGAAAAACATAGATCTAAAGCTACACCAAAAAAATTTATACTAAAACATACTATATTATATATTTACTATGTAGATCTATTCATATGGAGTTCAAAAAAAATTAGATTTTCTATTTTATAATTTTTCTATGATTTATTATGTTTTTTTAAAGATTCAACTAAAATAAATAAAAAAAAAAGACAAAACCATCGCTTATAACCAGCTAGGAAAGGTAAAACGAACGGTTTTAAAAGTTTAGGAGGTGGCTTACCCGATTTTAGAGTTCAAGAAGGAAAAACAAACTTTCGTAAAAGTTGAGGAGGATAATATAGACTTTTTCTAATCCGATAACCACAAGGCCCAGCGATGAGACCCACCCACCCTTGTCCACAGCACTAGCAACACATTTGCCGTGATCAATTCAATGGAGGGCACAAACAAGCACACGACACCACTGACCCCAACGTCTCCCAGTTACTCCGTATTTTGCACAAGAAATAAATAAAACTTCTACCACTTCTGGACGAAACGACGCTGCTTCTGAGTTCTGACCAAATGGTGGTGGTGGGCAACGTAGTTCCAAATTTCCATCCACAAAACGTTACAGCAGCCAAAGCAACTCACCCGCTACAAGCAAGCAACCAAATGGTGGTACAATACTCTCAGTTTAGTTCGTCTTTCTAATAGTATCCAGCCATTCCAAGCCACAGATTTTTCTTCATCCGACCATGGTGCGCTTCCTGCCCCGTTGCCTCACTGTAAAAAATTTTCGATTGCAAAGAGTACATAAGAAGGTCATTAGTTCATTACTCACGTCAGCACAGCTTCATAAAACAGCAACAAAGGCCATACTCTGCCACAGGGCCAGGACCACGCCATACCTTGAGCCAGCTTGTTCTGGGTCGACCACCACTGCTTCGAAGCCTTTCTGTACGCCGCCAGGATTTTCTCCATCCGGTTCATCATCAAAATCAGTGTTGTTACCCACATAAGTTTGCTGAGGCATGATCAACACAACATAACAAACCAGCATAGAACCCATAGGGAACAAGATGCCACGAACAAAAGGAAAAATCATAAATCCACATGGCAAATGGACTAATCCTGTCCAGTATAGTCGAAAATGTTTGCACAGATCAGTCGGACCCAAGTGCATAGTACCAGTCAAGCAAAACCAAATATTGACCAAAAATTTCATGATTGATGAATCCAATATTGTGGGCTGCTTATTTAACCTTAACCCGTATACGCCATTGGCCTCCCCAAAATAAAGTCACGAAATAATTTCCCTATGCCATAGCTAGTATAAAGGAATCAACGCACGCATAAAATCAGAAAAAGGCAACATGAATATCAATTTATGCAGTCTCCTCACCATATCCCCACAGGACGAATGCATGGAAATCAAAGCTCTCTCTAGCACATATAGGTCCACCGCTTTGTCCTCAGGAATTGTTGATGTGAAACTCAGACCAAAATCAATAAGAACCTGCCAAGATTAACATATATAAGTTGCAAATCAATGGCCACGATGCAACTCTGCTGGGTCGAGTGCTGCTGATCTTGATTATCATAAGCTTGACTTCATAGCATGATAAAGTGAATACATTAAACAGAAGGTGTTGACAAAAAGGATATTGTACCCACCAATTGATTGTTACTGTTCTTAATTATCATGTTGGACGTGGTCAAATCACCATGAACAAGGCCTCCATCATGTAGTTTGCCGACGGCATTTCCTATCTGTGTGGCAATATCATTCAGGCGTTCCTCATTAACCCCATCTGAACCAAACTCAAGAAGCATCGCCCTGTTCGTTTGGGCTTGTTTGGCTTATAAGTCATGGCTGAAAGTACTGTTGACTGGTTTGGTGTGAGAGAAAAATATTGTTTGTTGGCTGATAAGCCATGGCTTATAAGTCAAATACGACCAAACGAACAGGCTCATATCCTTGACAGACAAGCCGTCCACATACTCAAAGGTCAAAGTATGCGGAAGTGGATCCACAGCATAAAGTACTGGGGTAGGAACACCAAGCTTCTTGCTTTTGTCATGCACCGAGCTTCCTGCGCATGGAGAAGACCATACTAATATAATATACTAAGCTAAATCTCAGTAATATCAGTTGTCATGTTTACCACCAAAAATAGGTAACCATCCCAAGATTGACATTTCCCATACAAACAAAAGTAGATTTTTTTTTACACATGGAGAAAAGAAAATCTGATAATAACATGTTGGTTAGAGAGACTAACTGCATTCAAGCGCTTTAGAGTCAACTTCGAGTCCAACAATGGGTGCCGGTACTTTTTCGAAAAGCGCTCTTTGATTACACATTTTCGTCCCACAAATGTCGAAGCAAATACCCTCTGCAGAGAAGCAAACAAACTATTTAGAAAGCAAGCAAAAGGACAAGCAGCAACTACATATCGACTCTTGGCTCACCCCTTCTGCCCCCTGCTCCAGTAGTACGCCAAAATCTTGTTCTTGCTCCTGAGACGTATCCATGAAGCCTAATAATCACTTGAAACAAAGCTGCGATGGATGAAGTAATAAAAAAAAAAAAAATTAAAGAATGCCAAACAGACATTAAAAAGGGAACAACAAATGTAATAGACAAACCGAAATCACGAGAATCAGCTGTTCGGCCAGATTACCAGTCATTTCAAACTAGTTTTAGGAGAGCTGTTTCAAAACTACCAAAAATTGCTAGGCTACAGGTTCCATGTCTTTTACCGTAGCTGCTAGTCGTGGGATGGTTTTAACATTTGAACTAGCACAGGTCATCATCGCAAAATTTCAAGAGTAATAAGAAGATTTGCTCAAGATGGTTTTAACATTTGAACTAGCACAGGTCATCATCACAAACTTCCAAGAGTAGTAAGAAGATTTGTTCAAGTTAACAAATTCATTAGTACCTACACTCCCTACTTCTTCCTCGAGGCTGCAATAGCATTTTTTTTTTTGGCTCCAACAGCAGTAACCTTCTTTTTTCGGGCCAAACGCTTATAGTTCTGAGGGCTTAATCTTTGTGCTGGACAAACTGGTCTGAATACCTCTGTCTTCAAGGGATCCAGCAGATCTTGTGAGCATCCTAATACAATACCACTCTTTGTAGCCTCATCCCACAGCTCTCTTCCAATTTCAAATCTACCAATCCTACAAAGCTTTTCTATAAGCAGGTCATATATACGAGCATCCACTAGTTCACACCTCTTCATAAGTTTGAACATATCAAGAGCATGGTCGATTTCCTCTGTTCCACAAAGGACACCTATAAGACCATGGAAAAACTTAGCAGTTGGAGACACTCCACTTTCAAGCATAGCATCTACAAGCCTCTTCCCTCTAACAATTCTCCCTGTTAAATAGAGGACCCTAACCACAAGATAGTAGCTAACCCAATCAGGGGAGCACCCTGCTTTTCCTTCTGTCATCAAGTACAAGATTCTATAAGCTTCTTTCACTCTTCTTGCTCGGCCTAAACATGAAAGTAATATGTTGAAGCTAGAAGCAGCCGGGGGAACACCACAGGACCTCATCTCTGTTAATATATCCATAGCCTCTGGAACAAGGGCAGAGGGATTGAACTTAAGGTTTCTGTGGCACACACAATGGAGAAAATCGTTGAATGATGGCAAGCCCAACGGAGCGCCTGAAGACTTCATTTCATTGAGGACTTCCCGAGCCTCCTTAGCGTTCCCATGAACGCACCAACCATGGAGGAGGCTACGTTCAACGATGCTAACCGTGGGCTCTGCCGAGAGCTCGCTCTTATGGTGCCACACAACACCCAGTGCCTCACGAGCATGGCCCCTCTTACACAATGCCTGGATCATGGCAAGGCTGCTCGACCATACGCCATCGCCTCCAACACAGCCCCCACGCTCAGGCAGCAATCGCTGCCTCTCCAAGCCTCTAAACAGGCGAACTGCCTCATCCTCCCTCCCCGCCTTGACAAGTGCGTCGACCACGGTGGAAAATGTCTCGGGAGCCATCCTCCGCCTGTCCTTCTCAGCATCAATAATGGCGATTCTCATCGCAGTAAGGTCCCCGGCCCACGCAAGCGCCCCAATCGCCCTGTCGAGCGCCTCCACCCCCAGCGACCCGGGGTGCCTGGACCGGCACCACGCCAAAAAGCGCAGCAACCTCCTGCCGGAGCCTCCGCCCGTCTCGCCGCACGAGTCGATCACGCGCCCCACCAGGTGGGGCGAGACGGCCACGCCCAGCCGGTCCAGCCTGCTCCCCACCTCGTCAAGGCTCCCGGACCCGAAGCACACGATGTCTCGCACCACGGCCTCCATCTCGCCGTCCCGCGGCGCGCCGGAGCACAGAGCGCGGCCGATTGGGCGGCCGCGCGGAGGAAGGGCTCTTCGAGTTAGGGCCGCCGTGAATCTCCTCGACGCCAATCTGTTCATGAGCTCTATCTAGTGCACAAAACCACCGGAGGCTAGAACTGGAGCAGAGAAGCGGGGGGAGCGGTGGCGGGTCGGGAGTGAAACTGACCTTCGGGAGGCTGCTGCTGCTGCTGGGAGATGCGCCAGGTCAGGCTCGCTGCGGCAGGTCGCGCCTCGGTATCGCTCCGGGCGGCGGGGACGGGGGGATGGAGGCGTTGCGGTTGCGGCGGGGTTGAGCGATGAACCTCAAGCGGAAATGGAATAGGGATTAGTTAGGAGTTGTGGATTGGGCCCATGATGGGCTGCAAAAGAATGCGTTGTCGGCTCAATTGTGATTCACCAGAAGCAGGCCAATAGCTAATTGTTGCGTTGGGTTAGATTAGTGAAACCTGCCCACCGAGATACAAATGCTTATTTTTCTAGATTTATTTTATGATTTTATGGTATTTTTAATGGTAGGCGACATGTTTATGATATATGGTAACCACACCGTTAGGCCTAGACATTTGGTTTCGGTTCTAACCAAACTTATCAAACTTTTGCAGAAAAACTAAGACATAGCAGATCAATATAAAAACATCACACATAAACCAAATATAGTCTTACAAAATACAAATAAGTGAAGTACAATTCATATAATTCATGGAGGTTTAAGAGTAAAGTTGTAACCTTTTGATCATGTTGGTTACGCTGGGACCTGAACCGGACTACAACAACATCTATTCTTGCCATCACACAACAAAGACGAAGACTGCAGTACCAATCATGTTAGGCAGTGTTTTTAGTTGGTAGGATTAAAAGAGATGGATGGGAGAAACCTTTTTTTTGGAAGGTGTTTGGATCAAAGACACGCGGAGGCGAGTCATCCCACCTAGTATATGTAACACCCTCGGTGTTACATCATAACAACTTACTTAACCATGTCATGAGCGTCATGTTTATGTGGTAATGCATATGATAAAATGTGTAGATAAATTTCTTGTAATCTAAAATGAATAATAAAAATGTTAAATAAAAGTTAATTCAATAGCTCATGTATATCAAGTAGGGTTGAAAACCAATTTTTATTGAGAAAAAATATTATAGAACATGTGTGTGGTACCTAAATAAAGCTTAAAGTACAAACTTTGTAGATGGCAATACAACCTTTGCTGTGGAAAAAATAACATTGCTAGCCAATACTTCTAATAGCCTAGAAATGGAATTTAGAATCAAAATTCAACTCAAAGACTTAGAAGATTTTTAAGTATATAAACAACAAGAAAATGCCATGGTTGGAAATTTATTTTATGGAATTGAGTTAAGAGGTGGTGTCATGTTTTAGCTCGGGTTAGTACCCTAATATGCCCTCTTGAGCATGGTGAAGGTGGTTTAGTTCTAAGAGCAACCGTTAGTTTTTTAGATGTTTTAAAATTTGTGCACGACATGATTTCAGGCTGGTTGGCCGGGTGGGCGCGCTCACCATGTCCTGGGGGGCGACGTCACCACATGTTGCTCGGCTTTATCTTGGCGCCTGTGTGCGCGCCCGCATCTTGATGGGCCAAAACGCCGCCGCCAGGCGAGCCATGGCGAACTATAGCCAGGTATTGCGGGGGCCGCTGCGTTGCTGCTCCACTCGCCAACACGTCGTCGTCACCGTCGCTGTCGCCTTACCGAGCTGCCGGGGCGCAATCATTGCCGCCCTTGGTCGCTGCCGTGCGATGCTGCTGCCACCGTGACGTCATGTTGCGCTGCTACTGCTTGCCTTGCCACCACGCGCACGTGGGCTGTCCCGGCTGCTCGTGTCGTCGCCTCACCTTAATGGCGATGTGGCCGCACAGACCGCGCCCCCACTTGCCTCCCCGTGCGCGCAAGTTGTATGGACGCGTTGTCGCGTAGTGAGTGCGCGGACGTTGCCTCGGGTCCGGCCGACCGCTTGTCGCCAAGGCGAGCACGGCCAGAGCTCGGACCCATCTCCTCTCCCTGCCGCTTCCGCCGTCAGAGCCACGCCCCACGCAATTAGCCAACGAGAGATCACCTCAATCTAATTCAGCGCGTCCGCGGTTCCGTTATCAAGCCCTCTCGCTGCCCAACCCCACCCAGCCTTAAAGCGTGCATGGCCAAGCTCCAATTTGGAGTCTTCCCCGCCACCGTGCCGATAAGGTCACGCTCGGCCATAGCCGAGGGCAGCCCTCCACATGTCCATCCCGAACCAATTCTAGTGCACCGCTAGCTTCGCTTCCATCCTCTCTTTACCCTGCGAGCCTTAGCTAAACCTCTACCGTTTCCCCGGTGTCGCTGACGCAACCATGCCATCGTGGTGCGTCACCGCTCGGCTCGGTCGCACGTGGCTAGCCCTCCTCCGTCATCCTCCACTCCAACTGTCACCTCGGCCAGACCCGCGGTAGTCTCCTAATGCTCGCTCCGTCTAGGCCTATAGTTGCCCGAGCTCACCGGAGCAGTTGCGCCACCGTCGTGGATGGCCGCGCGTCGCTACAACCTTCCCCGGCGAGTCCCGCCACCCCTCACCGCCGTCTAGTGTAGCCACCATGGTTAGGGATGGTGACCGACCCGATAGGTGGGTCGGCGTAGGTCCTAGGTGGCCGGCGCTGCCGCGCTGTGCGCTAGGTCACCGGGGGTGCGTGCGGGGGAATTCTAGGAAGGTTAGGGGGTTAGGTGAGAGTGACTGAGAGAGGGGGCAATAGTATTAGGACTTAGGTGTGATTCGGAAGGAAACCAATGACTTTGTTGCAAAAGCGCCAGCACGCGCGGGTTTCCCCGCCTCGCGTGTGTGGCCGCCTCACGCGTGAACCCGCGCATATGTGGGCCGCATAGTGAAATCATCTTTGTTTTTTCTAATTGAATTAGTTGTTGCTTTTCTAATTTAGTTTTTGAGCTAAACTTGTATATTTAATATAAATTCGTGTAGATGTCCAAAAATTGTGAAACTATTTTTGTTATGTTTCTAAAATCATTGTCTACCCAATAGTGTAGTTAGTTCAAACATATCTATGTTAATGCTAAGGCCTATCAAATCATTTGAAAGTACTTAATATTAGTAGGATAAATATTGCAGGAATTTTTGTGGTAAATTAGTGATAGCTTTAATCCTAAAATTTTTACTGTAGCTTTATTGTATTATTATGTGCCTATTGTAATTTTTGTATCCCTAAGATAGCTTGTTGATTAGGGTAGCTAAATATCCATTAAACCTTTAATATGAATAAAAGCATAATATTGACTTATGAAATAAAGCACTTGTTAGGGTGTCGGGAACCAATACTAGGGTACCCAAAGAGGAGCTAATGGTCATCAACATTGATTCATTCGAGCAGTCAAGAGCGCAACTACAGCTCCAACCGACCCCCAGGTGCGCGGGCTCTGCCTCGCCCGACCTCTAGGGGCGGGCTCCGCCTCGCCCGACCTCTGGGTCGGGGGCTCCGCCTCGCCTGGCCTCTGGGTCAGGGGCTTCGTCTCGCCCGACCCCTGAGGCGTAACTATGGGCCCGACTCCTGACAGAAGCCTGTACCGCCACCAACCACTATGGCCTCGTTCACGTGCCCTTGAACCCGGCTTGATCCGGTTCTTTTTTTCATCCGGAACAATGTTTTCCTCTCACAAATTCCTCCAAACCATCCAAATTCCTCCAGAACCATACCATCTGAACGGGGCCTATGGGCCAGAAAGTACAACTCAAGGTCAAACTTCTGCATCATGCAGGGAGCGGGCACATCTCAACATTACCTGTGCCCGTGACATGTCACTCCAGAGAACTCACATCACCAACAATAACGGACACGTGGTCACTATGCTGCCTACTCCCTGTACGACCGCTGACCAGCACGCTTAGTTCGCCGCGTTGCCCGCTAGGACGGAATGGGGCGTCATGACCCGCTAACAACGCCGGGGCGTGGCATCAGCGGCGAACAGGCACCCGGTGTGGAGCCATCCCTATCACCATCTGCAGTGTTGGCGGGACCCACATAAAGGAGAAGAAAGGTCCGGTGGTCCTAGAAGCCTTCCTCTCCTTGGCTCTTCTCCATCTTTCTCTCTTGTGTAACCTGCTCTTCCCCTTCGTCTATAAAAGGGGAAGCAGGACGTCCCAGGAGGGGGGACGGTGGTTCACCACTCTACACGCTTGTAGATATCAAAACGCATGCCCTAACACGCCTTAGGAGCACATGCACATCAGAGACTTGGGACTTGTCTCTCTCTCGCTCGTTTATAACCCCTACTACAAACTTTCAGTGCTAATAACACGAGCAGCAGCGTCAAACTAGATGTAGGGACTTTCTACCCAAACCAGTATAAACCTTTTGTCCTCTAAGCACACCATCCGAGCCAGACGCGCAATACTAGAAATTTACTAGTTGGTAACTCAAAACACCGACAGTTGGCGTGCCAGGTAGAGGCTTTTTGCGCATCTTGATGTCCACATCAGGCCTTGGATGGCTAATCACGGCGTCAGTTGGGTCCCGGGCGCGCACGTGCGCTTCGAGAACCTAGACTTCATCATCACAACAGGGGGAGAGTTGGTGTAGGCTCCCATCACCGTCCAACCCCTCCACTCCACTGGCCTCGACGCGATCGCCGAGACGCTTGAGGAGCTGCGACTGCACGCACCGGAGCCCTACACCCCCAGGAGCGACCAGCTCCTCGGCTTCAATTATAGGAGGCTAGAACGCCAGCTTGGCTCCTTCCTAGGACCCCGACCATCCCGGGAGGACCTAGGCCGCCATACCGTCTCGTTCACCAACGTCATGACGCAGCTTGCCGGAAGAGAGCCGCTTTCCCCAGAATACCTCATCCGGAGCGCCCCGATAGCGCTCTCGTTCGGTCTGCACAACGTCACCAAGACCGTTGGCCACCTTGTGGCACAACGCACGCCCCCATCCCCCATGAATGATGAGTTCATGGGGATGACCGAA